ATGTATGTGCCGTATCTGATCAGTGTCTATCACAATGCAAGGTGGATGATCTCAATATGATTCCATTGTTTGTTTGTTTGTTTTAAATTATACATATTTATTTACACTCAAAAGTATGGGATAAGTAGGTTAATTCACAAAACCTAAGATGAAAACCATGGCGTTTGGATGCCTCTAATTAAATTCCAGTGTTCACTGCCTTCAAATGCACATACTAATTCAAACAGTAGATATTTCAGAAGTAATTTGTATGCTAGCATATTATCAGCAACTGAAAAATGCACAATATATTTCTGGCAAAATATTACAAAAGTACTTTGTTCATAAAAGGATTGTAAGCATATGAGCTTCCAAAACCAATTAATACATAATAAACAGTGCTGATGCTCCCAACAGTACTACAATTTCCCAGATCTGGATGTGGGCATGTTACTAGGGAGGGTTTGTGGGGGGGAGAGATTTTTAAGTATTCCTTGTAGACATTTGGTTAGGTTTTTATGTATTTTATTATACAGCAATGGAGAAATAAAATTTATGTATAAAAGTTAACCTTGTGTTTGCCTTGAATTAATTTTAACTCTGTGATGCTTTTTCCCTTGCCTTCAATCATCCCCCACCACCCAATAAGGCAACGTATCCTCTGTCCACTGTACTCCCTCTAATGTCTTTGACTGTGTCTGTGTGAAGAGGAAAACAATTTTAAGGCCAAAGAACTTAAAGAAGTAAAGTGTACTTTCCTCTTCCAGATAAAAATGGTGTTTTCAGAGGGAGTGCAGAACTCTGCTTAACTGTGTTAAATTTGAAATGGGGGGGGGACGACGACTTCTCTTCGTTAATTCAGTGAAACTAAAACAGAGTTTGTCAGAAATATGTTTCATCTGACTCAGTGCTCCTCTCAGTTTCTTCTTTTTTTAAAAAAAAATTCAAGGTTTCTTTAAATAATCAGCAATCTTACTCTGGTGCTTGCCTTGAATAAATTTTAACTCTCTCCTGCCTTTTCTTTTGCCAATATGGAAAGCTTTTTTTTTTTTAAGCTGTTATAGGTAAGGTATATTTGGCCGATGCTGTAATAAGCCTAAAAATACAGTACGGACAGCTAATCATAAGGACTCCAATAGGATCCCTCATTAGTAAGCTGCTATGAAATAGGGCTGGAAGTGATAGGCCATGTGGTCCAAAAGATATTTCACACCTTTTAATGTATTTTACCTGAGATTTAGATAGAGATTCTTTATAATCAGGTAACCGGCTTCCTTTTAACTCGAGGTGAGTGTACCTGCACATCTGGGATCTCTGGTTTCCGTACTCAAAGAGCCCTGTTTGCTGCTGCCCCATTGGTTTCAGCAGGACTTGTACTAGCTGAGCGGTTGGAGGATTATACTGTCTGGGAGGTTTGCCAGATTAATTTGGCCCGTTGCCTGTTGTTCAATCTGGAGCCACTGAAGCCCTTGGTTTCTCTGGGACCCTGCTGCCATATATTCCATATGGGATGCCCAGAAATATAGCCTAACATTAGGGAGATTTAGTTCTCCTGTGTCTCAGTGGACCTATACATTTTTAATGACAATTCCTGTTTTTTGCCTACCAAATGAACCTTGAAAAGGTCTTGTGGAGCTTATTAAAGTGTGAGGTTTTAAATTCTCTGAAACAGTTCTAGTTGATATAAGAGACTAGGGAGGGTATTTATTTTAGGAAGCTGTATTCTGCCCATAATTGGTGCAGAGAGATTCATCCACCTATCCAGATGATCCTTAACATTCGGTGGCATCAGGTTTGTGCTTGGTTGTTGAATGGCCTCATTAGCGCATTTAAACAAGAATAAGAACATGTAGTGTAATAGATTGAGTGTTTTGATCGTAGATGTGGTGCCCTAAAAACATTGCAGTAAGACATTTTTTGCCACAGGCCTTGCACACTGCCCTGCAATTAATTAACACATATTGGTCACTGGGCAGCAAATAAACACATGTGACCCTCTCTACTCTGGTACAATGGTCCAGAGTGTTGCAGAAAGATTTGGGAGATTCCAGCTCGAGAGAGCTACCGGTACTTGCTTTGTGTCAGCCTGGTCTACCTCACAGAGCTCTTGGGAGGACAAACGAGAGAGAAGGAGAGGAGGAAGTAGGCCAGGCGTACTGTTTTAGCCTCACTGTAGGAAATATATAAAAGTTATTAATCCACTAGAATATTAACTATTTGAACAAATTAATACAATGTAGGAAAGCACCTCTATGCATAGTTTTACAATTCAACAGCTGACAAAACCAGTGGACCCCATGCCTTTTCCAGTGGCAAAAAAGCAAGCTGCCACTCACGAGTAACATAACAAGCTGCTTTGTATTTAAAAAGGTGAGTAAAGTACAGCCTTAGGACCACCTGCACGCACTGATCCAAGATATATTTGTAGACTGCAGGATTCCTCTGGACCTCTTTTTCAACAAACAAACAAAAAGAATGAACGAACATCCTGGAAATCATCACACACATATGCACACACACATGCAAGTCAAAACCAGAAGTGGACATACAGCATGACATTTTGTACATACCTAATCCAAAACAATACCTTGTTTGTTTGTTACTTTCATATCCAGCCTATGGCTCTCTTCTCCTTGACTTTATGGTGATAAAAACCCTGACCCTGTCAGGCCAAGGGTCACTGCCCCAAAGTCAACCGCTGAGTTCAATGGTCAAGTAAGGATTTGACCCCAAAGCAACATATATTGCTTATATACCACCCATTAAAGCACTCTTTGGGTGGTTTACAATTTAGTTATGCAGTCTACACATTGCTAACCCACACACCACCAGCAAGCTGGGTTCTCAGTTTACCAGTTTCAGAAGAATGGAAGGCTAAGTTAACCATGAGCCAGCTACGTACCTGAATCTGCTGGGACTAAACACAGGTCACGAGCAGAGTTTTGACAGCAGTACTGGAAGGCTAAGTTAACCATGAGCCAGCTACATACCTGAATCTGCTGGGACTGAACACAGGTCATGAGCAGAGTTTTGACAGCAGTACTGCTGTTTAACCACTATGCCACGAGGCTCATACCTCATGTCTTCTAGTTCAGTGGTTCTTAACCTTTGTTACTCGGATGCTTTTGAACTGCAACTCCCAGAAACCCCAGTCAGGACAGCTGGTGGTGAAGGCTTCTGGGAGTTGCAGTCCAAAACTCCCAAGTAACCCAAGGTTAAGAACTAGTGTAATCTAGTTGACCAATCTAATCTTTACATCATACTGGTTTTCTTTACAACTAGAGAAAATGGAAATAATTAAAGATATGCCAAAGCTGGGGAAAGGAGTTGTATCCCAACAAGTCAGAGTAACTCCATGACACCTGCATAGTTGGAAAAATGGTACACCTGCTGGATCAACTGAGAAGTTGTCTCACTAAATCCCTACTGATATATTGCACCCTCACATGATGCCATTGTGAGTTTTTGGCTGGCAGGGAGCTGCAGAAAATGTCAATAAACTCAGTAGCAGCTAATTGATTCCTTCTTCGCTGCAAGAGTTCTTTTTCCCAGGCAGGGTTCAATTAGTGTTTTGTCAGTGTGCTAGCTAAGGAGTCAAAAGTGAACAGTTCGAGTGTTCTGTCAGCAATGTAACCATTCAGTTACTTAGTAATGAAGCTAATCAACCAATTAAGCTCAGTATTGTAACATTTCCACAAAATAAGATTTTTGTTTTTATATAAGAATTGTGAATAGTGTAAAATGAAACCTTTTATACAGTACTTATTTATACCAGGATCTCTGAATAAATGTATTCTAACAAGAGGCAGTTGAGAAAAACAGATAAGGGGTGGTCTACTAAAGAAGACTGTAGTTTAGCCGCCTAGAGTGGTCTGGTGGTCCAGATAGGTGGGATATAAATCAAATAAATAAATATAAATAAATTAATCCGCTCTATAGGTTACTATCACAACCATTTTTATCTGCTGCTGCACAATCAGAAGGAAAGTCTATTATTATTAAGGGCCACAATCAATTTTCTTCACACCAAACTCTGCCAAAATCACCCCAACAGTGGCCTCACTAAATCCTCACCGATAGGTGGGATATAAATCAAATAAATAAATATAAATAAATTAATCCGCTCTATAGGTTACTATCACAACCATTTTTATCTGCTGCTGCACAATCAGAAGGAAAGTCTTATTATTAAGGGCCACAGTCAATTTTCTTCACACCATACTCTACCAAAATCACCCCAACAGTGGCCTCACTAAATCCTCACCGATTCAATGAGCCTACTCTAGTGCAATTTATTATCTAGACTTAAGCAACAGGAATTCAGCCATAGAAAGTTGAAGCAGGGCTCAAGAGCTACTTCCAAACAAACAGCAGCAGGAGAGTCGGGAAACGAAATACATTTACAGTCTGCAACATATATTCTTTGTAATGGAGGCAAGCATTACCACAGAGGAAGGCAGATCAGCAAAGATCAGAGCAGTTCATTGCTGATTCAAAGCTTTGTGTGCATTGGAGACGCTGTGTGCATTGGAAGTAAAAGTCCTATGGAATGACAGGAGATTTACCTCCTAAGAAAATGTACAGAATTAAACAGGCAGATTTCTTTTTTAACATATTTTTAATTTATTAATAGACATACATTATTACATTACACAATCCAAACTTAGATATTGAAAAACAGTAATGAAAAAAACAAGTAAGACACAATTTCGTACACAAGACTTCGAAATTATAGCACGTGCCCAACCCCCAACCAGGACCACTGGAGATAAAACTCATTTTCTCTCCTCCAAGGATTATCGTTCCCTCTTAAAAAGAAACTAGATTTGCACGCGAGGCTTGCTTCCAAGTGAATCTGCAACATCCCTCTCCCCCTGTTAAGACTGGTAGGGCAGGGAAGGCTTGACGTTTTCCTGACCCGCATGCGCGAGATTTCACCGCGCCGTTCTCGAGACTGAGGGTGTGACTTGGGACGGGGAGGAAGGAAAAAAAAAAAGAGCAGCCGAGCATGCGCCGTGCCGCTGTTTAGAGAAGGCGATAGGCTGGGGCACAGCATGTGCTTTTAGCACCTCCCTGCATGCGATCCTCCTCGCCCTTCCTTCCTTCCTTCCCTGCTTGGTCGCGGCGGCGGGTTGATCAACGCCGGCCATGGCGGAGCTGGCAGGAGGAGCCGGAGCGGCCCCAATGGGAGATGCCTTGGTGGAAGCGGCATCGGCTGGCCAGTTCCAGGAACTGCTCCAGCAGCCGGGCAGGTACGTGAGGGCCGACACACACCTCGTCGCTCCCATGATCAGGGGCAACGGGCAGGGTTGGCGTCGGCGTCGGCGCCTCTTTCTCGCCTTGGGCACCGCCGCAGAGCCACGGCTCCTGGCCCCTCTCCGAGGAGTTTTGGCTCTGGACGAAGAGCGCCGCTGGGTTTGGCTGGGACTTGCTCGCGAGGAAGCACGGCGAGGGTCGGAGCCGCTCCTTTCGCATCGATAACCTCCCCTCCCTGCTTCGCGGTTGAGAATGGGGTCTGTCTCTCAGGAGCTTTCCTTCCTTCCGCGGAGACTCTGTGCAGGCTCCTTAGGGGGAAACAAGTAAGGGCAGTTTTGTGTTTATTCCCGAATGTGGCACCGAAAGCAAAGAGTTTTATTCCCCAGGCAAGGCTGCCTTAAAACACTCCTCCCTCTTGGCTTTTCCCGCCGTGAAAGCGGAGCGCCCAAAGGTGGTCGCATCCTTTGGTGACTCGAGGCAGGAGAGCCGACGGATCCCTCCAGAGGAAAAATGCAGGGCCACTAAACGGAAAAAAAAAATCCGCTTAAATTGGCTGCCTCGTTCTCATTAACGAAGGGTGGGGAGGAGGCCTTGTTCCCAGAACGTCAGTTATTGCCCAGCTTTATATATTTTGTCGCTGTACACTTGCTTTCAAGGTGCGGGCATACATTTTATACATGAAATAATATTTCATGCGCATTTTGGAATACTGTGTACTTCTCCACAGAATTCAGCCCAGGAAATGTGCCATCAAAACAAATCTGTATCCTGGCCCCCTTTTTTGTGTCCTATATATTGTGAAAGAACCATACTTTTTATTCGGGATAGCAGTAGCTGCCTGAAAGATCTACATTTAGCCATATTGGCCCTGGATTCCTGCCTCCCATTAATACAGCATGCAAGTGTCGCTGTTGTATTTTATAGGGAGAGAACCCCTTCTTTCATAGTGCAGAAATGTGTATGTGCTGATTTTTGTGATGGGTGAGGTGATCCTGATGAAGATGCTGATCCAGGAGAAGTTGCTGCCTGTCCTTTAGCCTAGGCATTACACAAATGCATAATTAAATAATCTTGTTTCAGAGCACAAATCCATTGAAATTACATGTTACAGGCAAAGTAATCTCTGCATGATTTCTCTCCTTGCAAAACTACTCTTAGGTTTCCCTCTGTGCGTGCTGATACCTGCAGCCTCATGTTGCTATGAAGCCATTGGGCTACTCCTTTCAGTACTTTGTATAATTGTTTTCTTCAGGGATTTCATTTTTCTTATGTAGAAATAACTGGAAAGGAACAGGGAATATTGTTGGAGCAGCAACTTTTGTTTGGAACTTTGGTTGTTGTGAAATAATGGTTGCTCGTACCCAGGAGGTGGTGGGGTGAAAGAGAAATGGTAAAGGGCTCTGCCCTTGCTTTTTAGAAGCTGGAAACAAATCATTGGGTTGGATACACATTGGGTCATAATTAGAGAACACCTATTTACATCAATTGGATTTAAATTAGTTATTTATTTCAGTGGGTTTCTCTTAATACTGTACAGTGTATATACATTGGGATTCAGTTCGTACATACAAAGAACTGCTATTGAAAGGTTGCTCATTCTTCCCATTCTGATCCTGAAATTGTTCTGAAAGAACTGTTCTTCTTTCCTGCAAAGTTTTGTTAGCTATACTTTAAATAAAAATATTAGAGAATGTGATATACAAAGAACTGCTATTGAAAGGTTGCTCACTGTTCCCATTCTGATCTTGAAATTGTTCTGAAAGAACTGTTGTTCTTCTTTCCTGCAAAGTTGTGTTAGCTATACTTTAAATAAAAGTACTAGAGAATGTGATGAAAACCTTCCCAACAAGAGGATGATTTAGGTGTCAAAAGTGTGATGCCTCTGGCTAGGATCTGTAAATACCTGCTTTTTGGCTACTTATCCTTAGTGTACCCATTTGGTCCCTGTTAGGGATGCATTGAAAAAACACAGCGCTTGACTCTGCTGTTGCTCCGTTTGGAGCACCAGAGTCAAGACCTGTGTTTTTTAACTCATTTCATAATGTAATTAATTAATTAAACTAATCGCTGCGCACTGAAAGTCAAATGGTTTTATCAGAATTTTGGTTTGTTTCCCTGGTTTCTTAAAGATGTAGCTTTGTTTTCAGTTTCAGAATAACAGACATATACAGTAGTAGACATTGCTTCTTTAATTCTGGCTTTTGCTGAGCAAGGGAGCTTTTGTGGTAAATGCTGACTTTGCTGAACAGGACGTGTGGCCCCGAGTAAGTCTTGTGGCCTGGGAGTACGCAGGGAATTACAAAGTCACATCCAAAAGAAAATGAGGACATCATTGCCTTCCTATTCAGAGAAAATGGAATAGGAGGGAACACAAAGATCTAACATCTTGTTTGAAGAGGACAAAGTGTGTGTTGTAGTGGGATATGTCCTCTGGGTTCCCATGGTGGCTTCCCAGCCCCTAACATTCTTCAGCTTTTTTTACTTTGCAGATGCAAACTGTGGGACTTGATTTGCCATGTGAGCAGAATTCTTCCCCTTAGAAGACCTCTCCACCCCCAAACTAGAACTAACCATCTGCTATTGCATTCAGACAACAAAATAGTAATGCAGGCTGTTTGGCTGGTTTTGAGATTTCTTTTAACCAAACATTGTTGAAATACAATTGTTTCTTAAAATGTGCAGAACCAATATCAAGGTTTTATATTAATTTTCCAAACAAACAAATAAGAAAATGCAAATGATCACTTTAATGAAGCTTCAGTTTGAAGAGGATTATAAAGGCCTTCTCCCTGTGGAGTTCCTGCTCCTCACTAGGAAAAATATGGGAAATAATGTGTGTTGACATCTGAAAATTTGTATATCACCATCATCATCTTAGAACTGCAGAACTGGAAGGGACCCTATGGATCATCAAGTCTAGCCCTTGTCAAGGAGGCACAGTGGGGAATTGAACTCCCAACCTCTGGCTCTGTAGCCAGACACTTAAACCATTGTGCTATCCAGTAGTTCTTAACTTATAAAGAAAATGCAGCAGTTGTTTCCTAGCTTTCTCTGCAGAACTTTTATGATCCCAAGAACCAGTCTGAAGCAGGGTGCAAAACACTGTGAGTGAACTGACAGGTTTGACTTGTAGCTGCTTCTTTGGTGATGGGAGGAACTGCTGGGTTGGAGGTTTTTGAGATGGAGTTTCCCACAGAGGAGCAGCTGTCATTGTCGAATAGTGGATTCTCTGGCAGCTGTGTATGAGATATGGAAGATGTAGGATTAAGTGTGAGCTGAATTTGGATCACACTCTATCCCTGAGTAGAATTGAAAGGCAGGCCAAGAGGAATCTAAGGATGTACTGTACAAAGAACAATATCCTTTGCTCATTTAGTCCTCTAGCATCTACTTTGACTGTCAGTGGCTCTCCCAGCTTCTTAGGCAGATAGAAACAGTGAGAGAGAAGGAAGAAGAGAGCAGCCTTCTCTCTCTCTGCTTCCTGAGATCTTACATTGTGGTGCCAGTTGCTTGGATTTTACATTGCTTTGTTGTTCTTAAACTGTTCTGCAAAAATGCCTGATTTCTGGGTTTTCTCTGTTTTGTCACAGGTCTTTAGTGGTGGTTCATTTTTGGGCTCCATGGGCTCCACAGTGTGTACAAATGAATAGCGTCATGGCTGAACTAGCAAAAGAACATCCTCGGGTTACCTTTGTGAAAGTAAGTTGTTCTGACAAAATGTGGTAACATTTTGTTGAAGTATAGTTGATGGCTATATATGTAGAGGGGAGAAAGGAAGCATAACTATTCACTCCATTTACTCCAAAGTGCTTAATATTTTCAGTCTGGGAAACTTGAGTGTAATTCAAGTTTGCAGTTGTTCTCTTCACATCTGTTAGCATGTTGTATTGGTTTAATCCACTAGAATTGAATGACTTTCATTCAGTTTTTTGAACCAAAATACCGTATTTTTCGCACCATAAGACACACTTTCCCCCCACAAAACGGTGGGGTGGAAAGTCTGTGCGTCTTATGGAGCGAAGAAAACATTGTATTTTCCTGTTTTCTTCTAAAAATTGGTGCGTCTTATGGAAAGGTGCGTCTTATGGAGCGAAAAATACGGTAAATGTATTGAAACTAATTGTTAACACCATTGAGATGGGAGCAATGTATAGCAGGTCAGAAAATGGTGGCTTGACATACTTCTTCCATAAAAGTCAATGGAAGCAGAAGTATTTTAAAGGGTGAAGGTGTCTGCTGGTCTTTCCCAGTTGTATTATTTTTTCTTGTCAGGATGTATTCCTGATTACGTGTGTTTATAACAAGTTTGGGAAACTGGGGCTCTCCAGGTAATGTTTGGACTACAAACACTTATAATCACTCACCGTTTAATTAGCTTAGGCTAATTCCTGACACTGAGGGAGGCTGAAAGAGTCAGCATCAGGAACCATGCTTTTTTGATTGTGCACCTTCCTTTTGGTATAAACTTTCAATGGAGGCTCATCAGGCATCTTCCCTCTCTGTTTTTAAGAAATTTGCAAAAATCATATTATTGGAAGATGTCTTTTATTAATGCCCTGACATGTTCAAATCTTTTTTTCATCTGTTTACCTTTACTGAAAATCAGGTTTTTGCTAGGAGCAGGGTTTTGTCTATTTAAATATTAATAGTTAGGTATTTGTTGTATTTATATGTGTTATAATCTTAGAACTGCAGAGCTGGAAGGGGCTTTATGGATCATTGAATCCAGCCACTCTCAAGGAGACATAGTGGGAAGTTGGACCCCCAACCTCTGATATCTAAACCGCTGAGCTTTCCAGCAGTTCACCCATGTTTTTAATGTGTTGAAAATAGCCTTGGGAGTGTTTGCACTATGGGGCAGCATAGAATCTGAAATAAATTAATTAATGCAAGTAGGTAGGTAGGTAGGTAGATAGATAGAGAGATAGATAGAGCATATTAAGTATGTAAGTATGTTATAAGCCAAAAACACTTGCAGAACTATAGTTGGAGAACCCTGGTACGTAGTTTCTATGGACGGAAAAGAGCAGATACGGATTAAATGGTTTTCAATGCATTCCTATGGGAAATGCAGATTCAACATAAGAACTTTTCAACTTGAGAACCACCTTCCAATACGGATTAAGTTCTTAAGTAGAGACCCCACTGTATTTCAAACTCTCATTGAGGTGGGAAGTAGGTAAGTAAAAGGAGGTTGTAGATATGTGTGCCACACCATACACATGCATTGTAATCTGTAATCTAATACCATATAAGAAAATATATATTTGTGGGTGGGTTTGACTCGTGATTGTGGGTTTGCCTCGTGAAGGGAAGGGGAGACACGAGGAATCATCTCATTGCTTCCATTTTCTGGTCTTAGATTGCTTTAGATAATATTGGAAACTGGTTGAAATTATATTTGTTTCGCAGCTGTGAAAAATGCAAGTGTGGTGTTGGGGTTGAGAGAATTAGCATACAGTAACCATCCATGTTTCTGGCTGCCCAGAATCTGCTTATAATGTTAATATTTTTCTTGTGCTTTGGTTAGTACATCTAGAATTTCCAAAGTAACTTCCACTGACTTAGCATGTAATGCAAGTGATTATTAGGTCAAATCCTGACTTTATCCTAGGAATATGAGATCAAGATAATGATAGTGCTCTTTTGGAAGCTCTTACAACTTCTTTGATGTAATAATGATTCTAGTTAAGGACCCTGCAAATCTTTTCTTCATTAGACAGGGCCTCTGGCCACTGTATAGCTATGGCTGATGAAAGTTTTGTACCTCTGTAGAAATAAATGGTAGAGATAGCTGCTGTACTTTCTTTATTACTGTGGCTGTGTTTCACTGATATTGTAATGCTGCCTCTCAGTCCTATCTACTTCTAAAAGTCTGAAATCTCTGCAGTTGCCCAGTTGGATAACTAAGGCAATTAGTGTGTGAAAGCGATAGTTTAATAGTCCCCACTTGGGTAAAGCTAGCTTTTGGTAGATCATGTTGTATCAGGAAACTTGTTTCCCTAGGAAAATAGCAGCACACCAGCAGATCGTGGGTGTGGGTAGATTTGTAAAATCTTACAGTTAAATTCAGCTGATATTAATATAAATAGTCAACCTTTAGATTACGCCCAAGAGTTCATATGCCCCCTGTGGTAGGAATAGGCCTTAAGTATCTATAACTTAGTGCATGATTTGAGCAAAACAGTTCTGGTTCTGACAGTTACCTGGTACGATTAATGTAGGATTTGTCTCTTCTAGAGAGTCTTAAATTGCAACTCTTTTTTTCTTTCTGTTTGTATATGATTTCTGTAGAAATGCACCTGTTTGAGAGAAGTTGTAAAGTTCAAGGAGATTTGCTGCTGTTAACAGTTGCATATTTATTCATACAGTGTCTTTGCTTCTTTTTTTTAGTGTTTTCCCCACTTGCTTCAGTTTCCCTTTTCCAGCCTTGATGTTCACGTTCCTGCATTTAGAAGAGCAGGAAAATTCCCCAAAGAGAAGACTTGCAATTTGTAGCAACATACAGTATTTCAAGTTAAGCATAACCCCATCTCCCTGTGCCATTAAGGAATTGCAGCCCACAGATTATCTCCCTTCCCTCATACAGAACATGAGCACTTTTGATGTGCCCTTCTTGTATTTAAGAATTTGGGAGAATTAACCACCTTGTTTAATTTTTCTTTAGGAATGGTAGTATATATTATGGTACCAATTAATAGTTCAACAGTTATTTTGCATGTAATAACAAATTTATAATCTATATTATCCAGATTGTGGGACTGTCATTTAAAAGAGATAGTAGCTTTGTGGGCTTTAAAAGGTAAGGGCTGGCTCCAGGCATAATCATACTTAGAGTGGTACTAATTGTCCCGTTTATTTCATTGGGTCTACTCGTATGATTGATTCTGATCCAAATCAATTAAACTGAAATCAGAATTCCATTTCATTACTATGAATGGAATATATTTTTAAATAGCATGCTTGAATTTGTTGCCTTTGTCTGATGATCAGAAACTATGGAAAAGCAGAATTATATTGAATGACTGAACTTATATTGAATATGAACAGTCAACCTCTAGATAATGTCCATGCTGCAGTGCCCTGTGGTAGGAATAGGGCTTAAGCCTCTATAACTGAGTGCAGTATTTCAGCCAAACAGTTCTGTTTAATAGTATGCAACAGAATTAATATTATAATACAGTAATTCTTGTAGCAGAGTAATATTGCATTGGGTTGCTATCATTAAGTGTTAGCTGCAACACTAAAGTTGCATCTTGCAAGTCTATAACTGTATTGCCTGAAGTCAAATTAATTATAAAGTCCATCTGTTTGCATACTAATAGCAGTGATTAACAGAAAATTGATGGAGTTTTAAATGAATTATGATGAGGATAGGAGAAACATTAAAGTAAGGCATCATTTTGCTAACATGAGTAGTAAGTTGGAAACAGAAAAGATTGCTGATCAGCCTCTTTTAATAATGATAACCTTAGAAGTGCAAAGCTGGAAGGGACCCTGTGAATCGTTGAATCCAGCTCCTGCAAAGCTGGAAGGGACCCTGTGGATCGTTGAATCCAGCTCTTGTCATAGAGGCACAGTTGGGAATCGAACTCCTAACCCTGGTTTTGCCAACTTAAAACCATTGAGCTATCCAACAGTTATAGATAGAGCTGTTGTAGATAGAACTATAGTATGCTTATACAATTTTATATTGATAAGCAATCTCAGAATGGCCTTTCTTTATGTTTGTTTGTCTTCTCAAAGCTTTTCCTGTTAGGACCAAAATTAACGGCTAAAGCCCTGTTTGTGTAAAGATATGCTGTGGAACCTGTTTTAGGTTCTGAACCATTTTAGGTTCTGTGACTCCTTATGGTTGCATTTTGCCTTGGGGAAGTCTTGGGATGTTAGCAGGAAACATTTAAGAGTCAACAATCACTGCCAGATTGCAGGTGTTGGCATTGGGACTGGCAGCGGCGATCTAGCGACAATGTTGGACTTCTAACGACTCCTTCCCTATCCCAAGGTGCCAAAAGACTTCCCCAGAGAGACTTAGAGAACCTCGGAATCTAAAATGAGAGTATAGGAAGCTTTTAATTAGTTTGAATTAACCTCTACTATTGCCAGCTGATAACATCATAATCTGCTGCCATGTGAACAAGATTTTGGCTATTATTATTTAAAAATAGATAAAACAGTTTGGCCAGACTTAGATATGCTGAGGATGTGCAAATGTGGAAAGTACAGCAATGAAGTGCAGTTAGTTAAGAAGTTGACACTTGTGTACTTGTTGTACACCAAGTAATGCCATTGGTATGCAACAAGGACTACAAGTATTGTCTTTTTAAGTAGTGGCAGTTCACCGCTGCAGTTTACACTTGCACTTATGTTGGCAAAAATATGTAATAGGGTTCTGGCTACCCATTACAGTAGTTTAAAAAAAGTTGCATAAGATGTTTCCAAAATGACACGTGCCATTTTCAGTGTGTTGAGAGAAATAAAGTGCTATAGAAAGTCTTCCAGAATGTAAAATAACTAATTATGTTCATCAAGCCAATTCCTATCTATGGCAAAACTTTCAAAGGAATGTTATGGTACAGTGTACTCAAAAGAGGGTTATTGTTCTCTTCTGGAGGTTTTCTGGGGCTATGCAGTTTGTCCAAGGCTATACAGGGTGACTGTTCTCCTGGGATGCACAATGGGGAATTAAACTCTCAGCCTCTTGACTCCACAGCTAGGTACCTAACTCACTGAAATAACTGCCTGCATAGTGAGCTAGCTCAGCTTTATGGTGGTTGAATACATCATGAACTCCTTGTACATATACGTAACCTCAAGGTTAATTCCAGGGATGGTACTGAATATTCAAAAAGTTGGAGATAGTGACTTAATAGGAATTCCCGGGGTGGTGGTGAGGGGGAATCAGGCCAAATGGCGATGCACCCAAGGCAGACTAGATGAAATAGTCTTGATTCCTTGGTTCAGATTACAGTCTGAATGTACTTGGTCTGTGAGTATGTCCCATAGGACATAGAGGAAATGGTTTCTGATTAAACATGTTTAACATTGTGATTCACATTGCAGAATCCAAAGAACTAAACAAAACTGCTTACAGATGGAGTGCGTAAAAAGCCTGCAACATTTTTGTCCATATGTTGCTTAACTCTAATATTTCCTAGGAAGGAATAGACAATTGATTCTGCTGGCCCTGATCTTGGAAATATCTGATATATAATCCAGTTGAAATTGCATATTGAATATATTTTCATAGTCAGTCAGTGCATTATATTGTATAGATTGCTCATACTAACATTTACAGATTTTATGGTACATTTGTTACGAAGTAAAATTTGGCAGTGTCACTTCAATCTAGTAATGTTTCCCTTTATATTCTGTTTCATTATCTTAAATGTTCAGTGCAGACATTTATAGGTTTGATTTAATGTTCAGACACCAGTTGTTCTGTACTTCTGTGCGTACAGTTTCTGCAGTGTTTGTTACAGAAAACTGACTGTGTTGTTAAGACAAATGGTCATATGTGTTGACAGTTTGCTCTCCAAATATTTGAATCCTTAAGCCCAGATATAAAAAGAATATTGGCAGACATTAATTTAACCAATATTAAAATTTGCCTTTCTTTAGGGCATCCATAAGGATTACTTGGGGAATCATCATTCACCAGTACTTTAAGCATTTTCTGTAACAAATGCATATTTTGCACAAATCAGAGGTTAGTTAATTTAACAACTAAATTAATGTTACTAACCATTCTTTTAACCTACCCTTCTTTACTTCCCCTCTCGCAACCTGTAAGACATGTCATTTCTCATGCCCTAGTATGAATAGGTAGCACTTATATGCATAGAAATCTGCTTGCAATTTACATTTTCTGGCATTATATATTAGATGAGATCTTTACTTTTGCAGATCAGTACCCTACTAATACCTGGTAATATTGCAGGGGTTAAAAACTAAAATTTAGCGGGCATCAATAGTTTATTGAAGAAATATTCCTTTTTTTGCTTCATAATTTGCAGAAAGCTGCAAATGTCAGTCGTGATGTACTGCCTCTTGAAATTAGTCAATAGAGCAAACAGCAAGAATTGCTGTGGGCAGAAAATAAGCACTGTAATCATGACATAACTGGGGTCAGTGATTTATGGATTTCAATATAGTAGTAGCTGCATATGATTGAAAATTTACTAGGTCACTAGTGCACCAAGAATTTTATTCACAGCCGCCAGGCGTCTTTTGAAATGCGCAACAAAATAAAAACCTCTGAACCTGTTTTGACACTGCAGGCTCAGTGGATGACAAGCCTGCCCTGTGAGTTTCATTTAAATGCAAATGTGTCACAAACTTTTGCACTGAAGTCTTTTTAAAGCATTTAACATGATTTTATAAAAACAGTGCGGAAACGATCGGCCAGCACAGTCTAAACTGTGAGTATGGAAATAAAAACATATTTGATGGTTTCTTCTTCATTTTAAGGTGGAAGCTGAAGCTGTCCCAGAAGTGTCTGAAAAATATGAAATTACTTCAGTTCCAACATTCTTGTTTTTTAAGGTGAGCTTATTTTAATTTGCCTACTCGCATATGAATACTCATTGGTAAGTTTCATTCTTTCCTCTGTAGGTGAGATAATTTTGCAGGGTAACAGCTGGTGCATTCATAATTGGTGGGGATTTTGTGTAACTGAAGTCATATAGCTAGAGTTCAGTTCAGCTATTTGAGACTTTCTGGTACTGAAATTTTGAAAGAAGTGCATGCTATCAAATCAAGTCTGAATCTTAATCAGTGCATTCTTGGTCTTGTGTTAATGATGTGGCATTGAATGAAGAAAGGGACGTGGTGGCGCAAGGGACGTGGTGGCGCTGCGGGCTAAACCGTAGAAGCCTGTGCTGCAGGGTCAGAAGACCAAGCAGTCGTAAGATCGAATCCACACGACGGAGTGAGCTCCCGTTGCTTCTCCCAGCTCCCGCCAACCTTGCAGTTCGAAAGCATGCAAATGCAAGTAGATAAATAGGGACCACCTCGGTGGGAAGGTAACAGCGTTCCGTGTCTAAGTCGCACTGGCCATGTGACCACGGAAGATTGTCTTCGGACAAAACGCTGGCTCTACGGCTTGGAAACGGGGATGAGCACCGCCCCCTAGAGTCAAACACGACTGGACAAAAATTGTCAAGGGGAACCTTTACCTTTACCTTTATTGAATGAAGATATGCAGGAGGACTGTTCAATGACTTTTATCGGTGGCTTTTGACCTGTTTTGATGTGGACCTCAACAAGAGGCTGTTTGTATATAGTGAAGCAAAGCAAAAGCAAAGCGTGCTGCTTATATACCACCCCATAGTGCTTCAAGCACTCTCTGGGCGGTTTACAAATTAATTATGCAGGCTACACATTGCCTCCCCAGCGAGCTGGGTACTCATTTTACCGACCTCGGAAGGATAGAAGGCTGAGTCAACCTTGAGCCGGCTACCTGGGATTGAACCCCAGGTTGTGAGCACAGTTTTGGCTGCAGTACAGCGGTTCAACCACTGCGCCACGAGGTTTAGCATTCTCTTCTGAAGAGAATGCTAAACCTATTGTTGCTCTTCCAGCATTCATAACCAGGACTGATGCTTTCTGTTGATAGAATTCTCAAAAAATTGACCGGTTAGATGGCGCTCATGCACCGGAATTGACCAAAAAAGTCCAGCGCCATGCATCCAGCTTGACTGTCCCAGCTGGTTCTAACGAGAGCACCAAAGAAGATCTCAACACACGCCTCAAAAAACTGACGAATGCTGCACCTTGCATGCTGTTCATGAAGGGAACACCTCAGGGACCTCGGTGTGGTAAGAATTGTTATGAATTTCAGTTTTGTGAAGCAGAACTTTATGCTTGTAGAGAAATTAGAAATCATCTTACCTTCCATACCTAAACTCTGAGTAGCTCAATTCTTTTGAATGTTATCCTGGGCTACTCTGCTGGTCCACCAGTTGGTAGAAATTAAACACTTATCCTAGGTTCTTTAGTCTAGATGAGTGGTTCCAAGACTCCAGTACCCAGATATTATTGCACTTCAGTTCACAGAAGGAACAGCTAGCATGCCTAATAGTAGAGGATGCTGGCAACTGAAGTCTAACAACATCTCAGAACTCTTGTCTGGGAACTGATGTTGGCTGAAACAGTTATCATAAGGTTGTTCCCTTCTAGATTACGTATCTTAACCCCATTTACTGTTGCAGTGCTCACGCTAGTTTGTCTTCCAATCTTTATAGACATTAGAAAAATAAAATCTCTCTAGGGTAGCATAGGAAAGAGAAAAGGGGGAACAAGTATTAATATCAGAAAGTGATGGTAAGTGGAGAATTGGTGTGCTGAAGTCAATGGATGTAGCCTGTTATAGGTGTCTCAATACTTAACCAGCACTAGGATGATAAGAGATGTAGAATAGGCTTTCCTAGAACAATTCAGAAGGGAACCATTAAAACAAAGCTTCTGTGAAGATGGTTCATGTGGTGGAACAACTGCTGTTGCAGATCCAACATGGATCAGTAAAAGTCTTCTGCCAGAAGGCATTGATTCGAGCTATGTGTTTTGGCTTGTGCGAGAAGGAAGACTCTCGGTGCCCAAGTGTTCCAGAACTTTTTTCAGTTGTTTCATATCTCTCGGATGTGTGCGTGTATGTACCTTTAGTTTCCAACCATTAATTTAGAGTCATATCTTCAAACTGCGGGAGATTGTCATAGATAACATATCTTAATGGGCAATTGATCTTTCTGGTAGAAATATCAGGTGGTTTCTTTTACAACAGCAGTGGTAGCAGCTGCAACTGCATTCTGCTGTATAGCATTTCAGACTGGCTTCTGTTTTAACATCCATTTATGAAAAACCACTGACTTTCCAGGAGAGACAGCTGCACTTTTCCTTCTGGGTAATCTTCTGATAGATGTAGCTGGAGTGGGCAACTGGCAAATTACACAACTAGTATAGTTGATACATAATCACTGTAGGAAGTTTAGAGTGAGTGCAGAATGGGAAGGGTGAGGAAGGAAAGTTGCTTTTCTATAACTAGTTGTCTTGAAATAAATATAGATCTTGTTGCTTTGGCTTTCACTTTCTGAAGCTGAACCCAGAGGAGTTGTTTTTCTAGACTGTCTGTGTCCAGGGTCACACATACTAGCTGGACATTTACATACTGTGCCTCAGTGTGCCCCCATCCCATATAAATAACAAACTCAGAATTGTATGATCCTTATTTTTGTCAGGTCTTGCTAAACAAACCCTTCAATATCATCTATGATGATTGCTTGAGGAGGTTCACTGGTCCAGGCTGTGTGATTTGGGTTTGTATATGTGGCTTCTTGTCCCACTGCCCAGTAAACTTTTGGGGTTGGAGTGGACCTGGGCATTGTCTGTTCCAAGATGTTCACTATAAATAAAATAAATAAAATAAAATAAATTGTCTGTTCCAAGATGTTCACCATGTGAGGTGATCCCACTTTGATCAGAGGAGTGCCCAATGCAGAATATTATTGCAGGTTGGAGATTTGATGGTTTACCTAGTTGTTTTCCTGACCACAAAACTAAAGTATTAGCCTTGGTGATTTTAATGAAATATTTTATTATTTCATTACTTGATCTTATTGTAGTTTGTGGATTTTAATGATCCAGTGTTGTAAATCAGTTTGAGGGCTTTGGAATGGGAAGTATTAAATACATTTCCAAACAGGATAATCAGTACAAGAGTTGGTGATTAGGGGACCTTCAGATGTTTGATCTCATAATCTCTTACTATTAGCTTGGCTATGTTGGTTAGGGCAGATGTCACAGTCCAGCAACATCTGGATAGCCACAGGTTTCCCAATTCTGTCTCTCTAGGAAGGGAAGTGTCCCTTATGGAGCCAGTTCTCCTGGCATTCTAGTGGGGTGCTGTCCACTTCACATCTCTGTACTGAAAAAAAAATCAGCTTTATGCTCTAGAGAGATGAGCTGGGAGTTTCTATTCAGTGTAGCTTGTGCAGAATAAGTTCCTGATGGATGCAGTCCAGACTAATTTTCATACTAATAATAGCAGATTGTCAGTTGTAACAGAGTGTAATTGGATCTTGGTATGGAATCAGAAATCCTTGTTATGTTCTGCATTTCACCACTTCCTGTGGAAAGCCAATTCATAATCATGTTAAATGAGGTCTATCCCCTTGGCTCCCTGTTCACGGGCTTGTTGCTTGCTTACATCATTAATATTATAATTGTACTTAGCTTTCTATCACTGCACTGCTAGCATCCATATTACTGTTACAGTGGTCTGTACATTCTCATATGTGCACTTCAGCGCTTCTTTCATTAGCTTTTGTATTGCTCAGAAGGCATTTGTTCAGAAAGCCTAAATCTTTTGTTGTGGGAATAAAGCAGTGTTGGCACTTTATCCCTAAGCATAACATTTCCAGTTTGGTACTTTAACCCTTAAAAATGAAACCCCACCAATCAATCTTTCTTGTCTGCATGTAGTTGCCTACAGCTAGAATAAAGTGTGTGAGCTCTCATTCTCTCGCAGCCTCTTACAGTAGAAATGAGTTAATATATTGGCAGCAGAATAACCATCAGCAATCAGCCTGTAGCTGTTTACTAATGAACTCCCAGATGAATGGGGGTGTGTGGGGGTGTGGAATCCAGGATCCTTGTTTCACTCGAGGCTGTACAAGAACATAATGCTTCAGCTGTGGGAAGAAAAGCAACTTAGATGACATATAAATAAATGCTATTTGCTCATGGCTCAAAATGCAGATCATGGAAGCCTCAAGCTACAATACAAATCAAAAGTAATAGATGAGTTTACCAGACAGACACCATGTAAAGATTCTTTTGTGTCTCTGCTTCTTAAACTTTTTGAATCTCTCACTTTGAACCCCACTTAGAACCTTTGGAAAATTTGATAGGATCTTTCAGGTACTTTCAGAAGGGAGGTATGTGTATACCTGTATAATCTGATGAAGGTTTGTTTGTGTGTGTGTGTGTTTTAAATTTGAGAATAATAGGACAAGAAAGGTGAAAATTGCTATAGATTGTTGATTTGGAATCTGTTACATTGGTTGGAATCATGTTGGTGTTTGTGTAAGGTTGGCATCACATATTGTGGTTAATTTACAAGGTGCAGAGTTGTGCACTCAGGTGTAAGAGCAGGTGTGCATCTGAGATGACACTCTGGGACATTGTCAATCAGCCTCAATTAGTCATCGCAAGTAATGCTAACCTTAGGCAAACATTGGCTTTTGATATTAATGCAAATTCCCATTTAGGGATTAGGTTAACCTGAAATATTTTCTCAATCTTGTACTTTTTTTATTTATTTGATTTCTATACCGCCCATCTAAGTTTCAAAACAATCCTTTTCAGTTAAAAGTTAGAAGTGTTTTCACAACTCGAGCTGCACCGCTTCATTTAAACAGTATTGAAAAAGGATGCTAAGCCAGTTCTGTCTGCTTTTAGTTAGGAATGCTAGTCAAGACTATTTCTTAGAGTGGCAATTACATATCATGGTATTAAGTAGCACCTGCATGTTGTGTGATCTTCCTGCACTGGAAAACCAGGCCTCCGTGAGTGATGGCTGTAGCCAGAGCTGAACACAAGCAGGACTATTTGGACAGATGTGATTTACAAAGCAGGGTTAATCTCCTGAAAATCTTGGGGGGTTAACTCTTCCCTGCTTTTGTTCCCTTTTTATTTTGTGCAGCACTTGTTTTTAAAAGCTGATTCTTGCTCTGTTTCTTTTACTGACACAGTTAAAATTGGGAACTCTGGCAAAGTGAGCTCGGATCATAGCACTGGAAACGAGTTGCAACCAGAGCAGGGGGCAAGGAAAGAGGGCTTGACCCTTGTTTTTCTTCCTGCCATTGCGAAGCCTGTGATATCCCTACAAATAGGATGATTCTCCCAAATTACTCAGGCAGACATATAAGCTTGTCGAGCAGGGGGCAAGGAAAGAGGGCTTGACCCTTGTTTTTCTTCCTGCCATTGCGAACCCTGTGATATCCCTACAAATAGGATGATTCTCCCAAATTACTCAGGCAGACATATAAGCTTGGCCTGTGTTTCATGTGCATCCATGGTTTTGAATGGCGCAACGTTCTGATACGACCAAAGAGTGATTGGCAAATGATGTACATTTATTTATTTAAAATATTTTGTGTGTTTAGTCGTTTAGTCGTGTCCGACTCTTCGTGACCCCATGGACCAGAGCACGCCAGGCCCTCCTGTCTTCTACTGCCTCCCGGAGTTGTGTCAGGTTCATGTTGGTTGCTTCGCAGACACTGTCCAGCCATCTCATCCTCGGTCGTCCCCTTCTCCTCTTGCCATCACACCTTCCTAACATCAAGGTTTTTTCCAAGGACTCTTTTCTTCTCATGAGATGGCCAAAGTACTGGAGCCTCAGCTTCAGGATTTGTCCTTCAAGTGAGCATTCAGGGTTGATTTCCTTTAGAACTGATAGGTTTGTTCTCCTTGCAGTCCAGGGGATTCTCAAGAGCCTCCTCCAGCACCACAATTCAAAGGCATCAATTCTTCGGCGGTCTGCTTTCTTTATGGTCCAGCTCTCACTTCCATACATCACGACAGGAAAAACCATAGCTTTGACTATTCGGACTTTTGTTGGCAAGGTGATGTCTCTGCTTTTCAAGATGCTGTCAAGATTTGTCATCGCTTTCCTCCCAAGAAGAAGGCGCCTTTTAATTTCAGGGCTGCTGTCTCCATCTGCAGTGATCATGGAGCCCAGGAAGATAAAATTTGACACTGCCTCCATATCTTCCCCTTCTATTTCCCAGGAGGTGATGGGACCAGTGGCCATGATCTTAGTTTTTTTGATGTTGAGTTTCAGACCGTTTTTTGCACTTTCCTCTTTCACTCTCATTACAAGGTTCTTTAATTCCTCCTCACTTTCTGCCATCAGAGTGGTATCATCTGCATATCGGAGGTTGTTGATATTTCTTCCGGCAATCTTAATTCCGGCTTGGGTTTCTTCCAGTCCAGCCTTCCGCATGATGTATTCTGCATATAAGTTAAATAAGCTGGGGGACAATATACAGCCTTGCCGTACTCCTTTCCCAATTTTGAACCACTCAGTTGTTCCATGACCAGTTCTGACTGTTGCTTCCTGTCCCACATATAGGTTTCTCAGGAGATGGATAAGGTGGTCAGGCACTCCCATTTCTTTAAGAACTTGCCATAGTTTGCTGTGGTCCACACAGTCAAAGGCTTTTGCATAGTCAATGAAGCAGAAGTAGATATTTTTCTGGAACTCTCTGGCTTTCTCCATAATCCAGCGCAAGTTAGCAATTTGGTCTCGAGTTCCTCTGCCTCTTCGGAATCCAGCTTGTACTTCTGGGAGTTCTCGGTCCACATACTGCTGAAGCCTACCTTGTAGGATTTTGAGCATAACCTTGCTAGCGTGTGAAATGAGTGCAATTGTACGGTAGTTGGAGCATTCTTTGGCACTGCCTTTCTTTGGGATTGGGATGTAGACTGATCTTTTCCAATCCTCTGGCCACTGTTGAGTTTTCCAAACTTGCTGGCATATTGAATGTAGCACCTTAACAGCATCATCTTTCAAGATTTTAAATAGTTCAATTGGAATGCCATCACCTCCACTGGCCTTGTTGTTAGCCAGGCTTTCTAAGGCCCACTTGACTTCGCTCTCCAGGATGTCTGGCTCAAGGTCAGCAACTACATTGTCTGGGTTGTCCGGGATATCCACATCTTTCTGATATAATTCCTCTGTGTATTCTTGCCACCTCTTCTTGACGTCTTCTGCTTCTGTTAGGTCCCTCCCATTTTTGTCTTTTATCATGTTCATCTTTGCGCAAAATGTTCCTCTAATATGTCCAATTTTCCTGAACAGATCTCTGGTCTTTCCTTTTGTGTTATCTTCCTCTATTTCTTTGCATTGTTCATTTAAGAAGGCCCTCTTGTCTCTCCTTGCTATTCTTTGGAAGTCTGCATTCAAGTTTCTGTAACTTTCCCTATCTCCCTTGCATTTTGCTTCCCTTCTCCTCTCTGCTATTTCTAAGGCCTCGTTGGACAGCCACTTTGCTTTCTTGCATTTCCTTTTCTTTGGGATGGTTTTCGTTGCTGCCTCTTGGACAATGTTACGAGCCTCTATCCAAAGTTCTTCAGGCACTCTGTCCACCAAATCTAGTTCCTTAAATCTGTTCTTTACTTCCACTGTGTATTCATAAGGGATTTGGTTTAGATTATACCTGAATGGCCCAGTGGTTTTTCCTAATCTCTTCAGTCTAAGCTTGAATTTTGCTATGAGAAGCTGATGATCAGAACCGCAGTCAGCTCCAGGTCTTGTTTTTGCTGACTGTATAGAGCTTCTCCATCTTTGGCTGCAGAGAATATAATCAATCTGATTTCGATATTGCCCATCTGGTGATTTCCATGTATAGAGTCGCCTCTTGTGTTGTTGGAAAAGAGTGTTTGTGATGACCAGCTTATTCTCTTGACAAAACTCTATTAGCCTTTGTCCTGCAGTGAGTAAGCCAAATAATATCTGCTTTTAATTTATTGCTAGAATATGTAGCTTGAATAAACATTATACTTTTCAGTTTACCTCTATGGAATTTACTGTTGTTAGTTACATTTACATTGCGCCTTTCCTCTAGTGAAGTAAATATGGTATTTATGTCTCATAGTCCAGGCTTTATACTGGTGTGGGCACCTTAAGAGGGTCCAAGAGCCATCTTCCACCACTCCTGGGCCTACCATCGGCCAACTACCCAGTCCCAGAAAACTGGAGGTACTAGGAAGTTTGCATGTGCAGGTATTTTGGCCAAATCGATGTGCAAGAGGAACACATGCTATTTTCGAGGGATCTCCAGCCACAGAGAGGATTCTGGAGTTGCAGTTTTTCTCCTTCCTCCCCTCCTTGCTTGTGAAAGTGAAAGGCCAGCAATCATGCACTGCAGAAATGGTGTGCAGTGCATGATTGCTGGCCTTGCTCTATGTACAACACTGTAAAGGAGGTCAGGCTGGGAGATGTTAATGTACGTTCTGATGTAGACATCAGGCCACTGTTTGGAAGTTGATATCGCCTCATCAAAGTGTGATTCTTCTCTCTGTCCTCCCATCTCCTGCTCTTCTAGGCTTCAGCAGACAAATGGTGGAGATTCTTCACAAGCACAACATTGCGTTTAGCAGCTTTGATATATTTTCTGATGAAGAAGTACGCCAAGGATTGAAAACCTATTCCAACTGGCCCACCTACCCCCAGTTATATGTAGCCGGAGAACTTATAGGTGGACTGGATATTGTTAAGGTCAGAAAATGAAAGATCTGCATTTTCCAAAGCCATGTCCTAGTTTGAAAATCCTGTTCCTAACGAATGCAAAAAAATTATATTTTCAGGAACTTGAGGCTTCTGGAGAATTGAATACGATCTGCCCCAAGGCAAGCAAATTAGAAGACAGGTGAGGTCCATTTTGTTTTCTGTTGGGCTACTGTCATGAGAGGAAATTGCACGTAATCTATTACTTTATTTGTTGTTCCATGATGAAAATTTCTGATGTTTTTTAAAACACATACCATGCAGAACTGCATATTGTGGAGGGGAACTCAAACCACAGGTTTATGATTGATTTTTTGGACAATAGCAGCATCCCCCCTAAACAACATCTTTCAGTCCAGTAAATTAGTTTGAGCTGTCCTTTCTGAACCGTACACTAAAGTTATAGTAGTAGTGCTGGGGCACTGGCTCTTGAGATGTACTTAGGCTTCAAATTCCATTAGCCCTGGCCATGGTAGCCCAGTTATCGGGAAGAATGGAAGTCATTTTTGTAACATCTGGTACATTTTCCACATGCATTTGAGGATTATGATGAATATACATCTAGTTGCTCTCATGCAGCTTACAGCTGAATAAAAATGTCAACCACTTTCAGGTACAACACTGAATTCTAAAGTATTTTTCAGTAAAATTGCATATTAACTAGAAGCCATCCTGAAAAGATTTCATATATCTAGACAAGTTAAATAGGTTTGTACCTGGCACCAAAACAGTTTCTGATCTGTCCTCATCGAATGTCCCTAGGTAGATTTTAGAATTTCAAAGATTTTGGATGAACTTGTATCTCTTTTATAAATCTCAGATCTCTTAACTCAATATGGAGAACAAAACAAAACAGGAAACTGTTGGAGAATAATTTTTCTGTTTGCATTCCAAAAATGTTCTTTTTCTGAAATAATTAAAATGCTCCTGGTTATAATATTACTTTTAAATAATGAAACGTTCAAGGCAAGATGATCATGTGCATTTCTACCTGGCCTTTACCCCCTCCACTTCATCAGTAATATCTAAGCACAATTAGAATTTTGAATTGGAAAACTTTCGTGAGTTGCAAAGCACAGTACAGATAATGCCCTGTTTCCCCAGAAATAAGACCTAACTTGAAAATAAGCCCTGGTATGGTTTTTCAGGATGCTTGTAATATAAGCCCGACCCCCAAAATAAGTCCCAGTTAAGCGAAACCCTGCCCTCCACCATTGTGCAGCAAGATGACATGACTGTAAAATAAAACATCCACTGAAAATAAGCCCTAATGTGTTTTTTGGAGCAAAAATATAAGACCCTGTCTTATTTTTGGTAGTTCCAGGAATGCAGCCTAGGGCCAAGATCTTATGGTCTGCTTTGATATCCTGTGCTTTCTGCAGCCCCTGTACAACTTAAAAATCTGTTCCAGAAGTTTTCCCAATTCTCTAGAGCAGCTTTTAGGGGTTTTTTGGGAGGTGTTCTATGGGAGGAAGGGGGATTAGACTAGATCCAGTGAGATCCAATGGGTGAAGAGCATTTGGGCTTGACTTGTGGTTCTGCCAAGCATATCTATCTGGCAAGAAGGTGGCAAGGCCTTTGCATAGCACAGCCCCTGGCTTCTCTTGCTGCTGTTTCTGTAATTCAGAGGTCCCCAACCCCTGGTCTGCAGCACGGTGCTGGTCCATGGCCTGAGCCAGACCAGGCTACGGAGACATACCTCCCCCCTGCACACACTCCCCCCGTAGCCTGTTTGCGCCTGCGCGCGCCTGTACCCACATGAGCGCTCTCCCACCCCTTCATGCATGTGCACGAGTGCCCCCTTCGCGCCATGCTGCCCTTTGCACATGCACACAAGCGAGCATGTGCCTTCACGAGCTCCCTTGCACATATGCACGAGCGCATGCATGCTTCTTCGTGCATGTACACAAGCGCAGAAGGGTGTCCCGCCTTCCCCAGCCAGGTCTGTGGGGCTAAAAAGGTTGGGTACCGCTGCTGTTATTACTGTTGCATAAGCCAAACCTACCCAGCAAAATTTCAGCCACTAGATTTTGTACGATTTCACCACCTTGTCACTCCATTTGTGCTGAATTTGACATATTTAAAATTCATTTTGTAAATCTGAATAAACTACATATTATGAAGTAGAACAGTTATACTGTAGATGAAAACAAAATTTTAAAAAAGTTTTAAAAAAGACTAAAACATGGTGGCACTTTAAAGACTAACTTATTTTTTTAATGTGAGCTTATGTGGACAAGTCAACTTTATTAAAAATTATAAAAGTTAGTCTGTAAGGTATCGACACATTTTCTTTTTAACTTTTTAATATTTATTTTATTTTCACCTGTAATTCTTGCACAGACTAACACGGCTATCTCTTCTACAACTACAGCAATTATATTAAATATAGCATTATTGTTTTTAAATATCCCAGGACAATAATGGCGTGGACAAGTAATATGCATTTAGTGTTTCTAAATAACAAAATCCCTTTTTAGATTTGCAGAGGTTAGAGGCAGAATTAAATATAGTGTATTTTTTCCCTCTGTCTTGAAAATCTTAAAATTGTTTGTTCTATTATTAATGGTGATGACTGCTGCTGCTTTGCTGTCTGCATGTCGTTACATTTAGTGTTAGTTAGGAAGAGCTTGCTTAATGGATGATGATTGCAGTGCACTGAACCAGAATAGGAAATCAGGTGTTCTCCATATGTTTTGGGCTACACTTCTGTAATTCCATGACAACATAGCCAGTAGTCAGATATCATATGAATTGTAGTTAAGAACAGGTTCATATTTCATGTAAGCTGTTAGGACATGTTTGTCAGTACTTACTTTTATGATGCTGAACATTAGAACATTAAAACTTTTTTTAATTTTTTTTTTTTACGGTCAAAGACCACTAAAACCAAATCAATATAAAATAGATACATAATTATAGTTTCGTAAAGTCAATCAGGGTAATAAAATTCCATTAAAACATGATAAAACAACCCCTACTTTCCAGTTAATAACTTCATATATCCTTAATATAAGTAAAACCTCAGCCAGTGTTATATTATAAGCATTGTATTATCCATCTAAAATCACCTACCCAAACATCTGATTATGAATAACCATTGCAGCACAGAATTTGGTCACTTGCCTCACAATATAAGGAGTATT